CAATGCGGCACCCAAAAAAGGCCACCATTAGTTCCCTTCTTGACCACTTCCCTTTGTTACCACTTCCCTTCGTCACCACATCCCTTCTTCACTTCCCTTGCCACAACCCCGTTTTATCATCACTTCCCTTCTACACCACTTCCCTTCATCACCTCTTTCCTTCTTCACCACTTCCCCCTCGTCACAACTTCCCTTCCACACCCCTTCCCTTCCTCATCACTTCCCATCCTAACCACATCCCTTCGTCACCACCCTGTGTCATACCGTCTTATTCTTTTCTCATGTATTGTCTTTTTATTTATCACCATCAGTAAGGTCAATTCCATAGGTTCTTATTTTTTTGTTTTAGATTGTATTGTTATGTAATTTACCCCGCTTCATCATGGTCAATTTCATTATTTCTAATTCTTGTTATTTATTATTAATATACGTTTTATTATGTAATATTTCACCCATCATAATAGTCAATTCATAGCATACATATTATTATTTTATTGTGTATTTAATAAATATATAAATATTTATATAAATAAATTTATAAACAGAAAAATAAATCTAATTATTCCAATGAATAGGTAAGTAGGTTTATAGCAATGCAAGTTGGTAGTCAGGCAACCAGGTCAGTTCTCAGTTCGTTGATCTATCGGTTTATCGGTCTGTCGATCACTCGACCTATCGGTTTGTGGGTCTATGTGTTTTTCGTTATATTTCTATATATTAAATAAAACGGGATACCTGTCGAAAAAGTCGGTGTCAACGTAGCTGCGATTTTTGGCAAATTAACTCGCAACGCAATACCTGATTTGGGGTACCCGAATTTCAGGCCACCAACAAAGGTCCATGATCGATAATTATTTATTTGCCGTACTTTATATAGTTGTTCTATCACCATCGATACATCATTAGTATTTATACCTTTTTTTGCCCGTAAAAATGCCAAACCCCTATAAATTAGTATATTTTTGGCTTTTTTACAATTAATTTTTTACCTTAAAACATTGATATTTATATAAATGAAACCCTATAAATACCAATATTTTAGCCACTTTCGGGGACTAAAACTGTGGTATTTACGCGGGTTCTTGCCAGCTAACAATGTAAAATATTTTAAATTTTAGTACTTTGTACGCTCTTTATATTCAATTTTTAAATGCACGATACTTTCACATATTTTTTACGTTATTTTATATTCTTCCATAAAAAAACAATGTTACAGATTAAAACTAAACGACAGTATAACCCGAAAGAAAGCTGGACGGAGGATACGCACAGAAGCTT